GACGCTCAAAACACGGGCCCGCCTCTCAAGTCTGTCCACGTCCCTCTGGATGGCATCCCTTCTCTTGCTGACTGCGGCACTCAGCTTGGTGTTGAGAGCAACCTTGCTAAGGCTGCACACTTCGAATGCAGTACTGATCGCCCTCATCTGAAAATGAATGCATTGAAATGGGAAAAGATGTAGACCAGGGCAGTATGATCAGAGGTATGGAATGATTTCCACCTTAGTTGAGTTTTTGGTGACAGAGAGCTACAAATTCACAATGGGCATGAAGAGATAGACCATTTGTTGCTTCTTCCCACACATAAAGCAATCAGATTAAGAGATGAAGAACCAGGAGCTTTTTCTTCCTAACCAAAGATCAGGAAATGTTCCTTTTGGCAGCTTCCTCCTTGCCAGTAGATGTTGTCATTACGTGAGGAGGACTGGAAAAGCAGTTGAAGAAAGGGATTCCTTTAGGGCTGCTAAACTGCCAAGAACAAGTTCAATAAACATGTTTTCAAAACGTTTGAATTTAGCAACAATCAAGTCAGTCTGATGAATGAAAACTCAGAGTTTTTATTAAGGCTGTCCTATATTGCTGGAAGTGTTACATGACCAGTTGGAATCAGGAAGATTAGGAAGTTGGTATATCTGAAGAACATGGCAGTGAGGCAAAATATTCACATTGGCAGTTACAGAGAAAGAGGTAATTAATAAAAGAATGGAATCAGGATGATATAGTTCAGTGCTCTGTCACTGAGACCTCATGCACTACTATACTGGTTGCCATTTTAGAAACACTTTTTTTCCTTTTTAGGTTTTAGGTTGACTACAAAAGGAACAAAGAATATATGATACATTATTACTAATCAAATCAGAGGGTGCATCCCTGGTAGGTAAAATAGAGAGAGTCTGCTAACCGTTAGAATATACTGCAAGCCCTCCCTCTGATAAAGTTTTTCCATTACGACACTTGTAACAACAACAGATTATCAAAATTCTACTACTTAAACCCTTCCTTCAGGAAGATTTCCACATTAAAGTAAAGAGGACAAAAGGAGTAGAGATTCCTTGACTTTGTTATTGCTAATTTGATAACTGCTGGACATGTTCAAAACAATAATACAATGCATGTCAAACAACACTTGACAATCCCAAGACTGCTATAAGGAAAATGCATATGCTAAGTTATAGGGTACATGATGTGATTCATGGATAATTACTGAACTGTGAAGAAAATAAATCCATACATGGTATTAATAATTCACCTTCCTATGGCCAGTCATTATTAGCAACTTGGTGGCATTACTGTACCTATTTCCTATAAGTGTAAGCAAGAAATTCTGAACATAGTCATGGAAGCTAAAAATAAACCAGAATTGATTATCCACTGCTGAAGTAAACTGTTTACTAAATATCTATTATTACATTATAGTACATAATATGACAAACTGCCAGTTTGGCTTACATTACTGTACTTTTAAACAATAATCAAGAGTTGGCAGAGAGCTAGGTAAGTGCTCATTTACTGCATTTTATATAAATCTAAATAAATAAATGTATGGCAGGTTGTTCTCATCTAACTTCTCTTGGCTGATACTGGATTGTTCGTTTTTGCGCCATACATATTTTGGCATATTTTCCAAGACTAGACCTAAATGTCTGGAACAGTAACAAACTGACTCTCAAATTAATAATTTCTGCTCCATATGCAAGGAAGAGTACAAGATCCTGATGCAAGATGAAGGCGTAGCGAGAAGGGTCTACTCTGAATTAGCTTTTACATGGAAAGAATCTTGTAACTTTGCAATGAACAATATGCAAAGTTGCAATATTGGACACTGTTTAAAGGATATGTTAAAAAGTAAGGACTATGCATTCTCTGGATTAAACTAATGTTATAGTAAGTAACTTAAATACATCACTATATTCACTTGCCTGCAAGCTCTGATCAATGTAGACGTCACCTAAAACTTTGCATACCAGGGTTGCATTCGTCCGCATGAAACACTACATTTTTCTTATCTTCCCTCCCGTTATCATTATGATAACTAAGATTTTCAGTCACAGGAAAAGTGAATCAGGGTTATGGTAATATTTCAGATTTTACATCAGCCTTTTAGTATCTTCACGGCCTTGAACATTGATCAAGCAACTGCCTTCATCATACATCATTACTGAATCTGACGGACTAATGCAACTATTAGCACTTCTCAACTAACCAAAGCATAATCTTAGTTTTGACAGGAGAAATCAACTATTAATGTGTATAAGACAGAAAATTGCATGATGATAATTATTTTTGGTATTAGAGAGTCATTTGAACACTTATTTTCTAAAACTTTACACTGTTACAACAATCTGCAAAAGCCCTAGGAATGCAGAACTAAAAATCAAATACGAGTTTATCATAATGAGCCTTATGTTTTGACATAATCCTTCACTTTATTTTGTAACTTGATTATTTCATTTATGCAAATAAGGCCCCAAATGCTGTTGCACTCAAGAAGTTAAACACTTGACATTTTTACTCCTTAAAAGGCAACATTTTATGATGTCTAGATATGTTTATTAATTAGTGATTATTAACACCCAGTAAACAACATCATGTCTTGTAAAAACACAATCTTTCTTCACAGCGTGATGCTGAAATCTATTATTCACTGATTCCATATGCTGAAATACACTCAAATGATCACAAATGACCTTAAGCATTAGATAAATGTAAATGAGGACAGGGTAGAAAATGTGCTTTTGATTGATATCTAAAAGACCAGGTTTGAAGTCTTGACAAGGGATGAAATCTGAAATCTCATACACAGTGGACGGCAATTGGAAACCTACAAAATCTAAGCTCCTGGATGGAGGTACCACACAGCCTTTCCTCAGCAGGGATGAGTGTCTGAGGCTGCTCACGAGAAGCGTTCAGCACATGGAACCTGAAAGACCATTCCTGGGGCTCGCTGTGGCCTTTGTCTTCTTGGCAGGCACTTATTAGGATGCAGAGATTTATCTCTAAGTTATATGCATGTACACCCTAATGAAGGCAGAATTTTTCTAACCCTAAGTGCTCACTTAAAAGAACTTCTCTACACAGAATGGCTACATAAGCATAGGGATAAATGATGTGAATGATAGCCATTAAAATTGTATGGGTTTAACCCTCTATGTTAATAAGCTTATTCTGCTGTAACAGCTTGCCTTTCTCAGCCCTTTTTCAGCTTTACTTTTGTCACTCTGAGGAGGACTGAGAGCCCTTCTGGAATGAGAATCATCATAAAAAAAAAAAGATTTAGCTACACAAATAGGACGCCATTATTTGCTCTTAGTCATCTCTAAGCACATTCTATTTCTCAACCCTGTACCACAAACATGAAGTATTTTACAATTTACTTTTAAAATACTACAAGATATGAACGCACTTCAAATTTTCAACTGCTTCTAGTCACTGTTGTACCTGGAGGTGCCTCAATGAAATAGTTAAACAGCTAACCTCAATGGCACCATCTATAACACAGTGGGTCAGGAAGGGCTCTGGAGATGATCTGAAACCAAATTCTCTGAACCTCTATGACATTCACCCTCCAGAGAACATCCTTAGCAGGTAACTCAAAGACAACAGAGCTGATGCAGTGAAAATGCTGGGTACACCCTGCGCCTTAAGACGTGGTTGATGAGAGAAGGACCCCAGCATGCTGTGCCTGGCTCCCATGCTGCCCATCCATCCCTGCGGTGACAAGAAGATACTCTTCGCACAGACAGGATGACCAAAACCCCTCCTGGATCTGACAACACTTGCCTCAGGGAAAAATCGGATTTGGTGCCACCCTGAATTCTCAGAGCTATTTACAAATGAAGCCTGCCAGTGATTTAGGTACATTCACTCCAAGTCTCATATTCAGTACCACCGGTAATGTTGTCTCTAAAGCAGCCAAATTTCAACCATGCACTAAATCACAGCTTGAAGTGACATAGTGTACGTTAAAAAAAAAAAAAAAGGGAGGTTACGGCACCAGGATCAATCCTACTGTACTTGCTTGTTAAAAGCAATTATTTTTTTTTAATACTTCTAAATTTCTCTTACATCACCTATCTACTTATATTGTATATATATCTGTGTCAGCATCAGTAGTATAGGTCACAGTTTCATACTTCCACATATATTTCACATTTATAATAAATACACAACTACATGCAAGAAACAGTAAAGCAGTTTAGTAGAATCTTACCAGCTTGACACCTTCTGCGCCTTAAATACTCCGGCATTTTGGTTTCTTGTGATGATCTCACTTACATCTGTAGCACATTTGTTAAGAACGATCAACAAAATTAGAGCAGTAATAAAAATAACAAAACCTTTTTTCCCTATCGTTAGTACCTTAATAATGTCTTTTATCTCTCTGGTTTTCTTTAATCTGTGCTAGGAGCTGGTCTTTTTTCAGAAGTACAAATTTTACATTGCTACTCCAGCACATCGGCCATATACATCTATGTCTGCCTCTATTTATGACTTAGATCTGAGGAATTGCTAGCCCTGCAGCTATAGAAGAACTGAAAAAGACTTCTCATACCTTATATACATTTAAAGGCAACTATTATTTACGAACATAAGAACTACAACTGTGGTGAACAGAAATTTTTTGGCATGGTCACTTAACGTCCATAGAATCATAGAACAGTTTTGGCTGGAAGAGACCTTCAAGATCATCAAGTCCAACGTTTGTCCTAGCCCTATCAACACCATTAAACCACATTCCTCAGCACAACATCCACCCGTCTCTTAAACACCTCAGAGATGGTGACTCAACCACTTCTCTGGGCAGCCAGTTCCAATGGCTGACAACCCTCCCAGTAAAGAAATTCTTCCCAATATCCAACCTGAACTTCCCCTGGCACAATTTAAGGCCATTTCCCCTCATCCTATCACTTGCCACGAGGGAGAACGGACCAATTCCCGCCTTGCTACAACCTCCTTTCAGGTAGCTGTAGAGAGCGATGAGGTCTTCCCTCAATCTCCTCTAGGCTAAACGGCCCCAGATCCCTCAGCTGTTCCTCATAGGACATATGTTCCAAATCCTTTACCAGCTTGGTAGCTCGCCTCTGTACCCTCTCCAGCACCTCAATGTCCCTCGTGTAGTGAGGGGCCCAAAAATGGACACAGTACTCAAGGTGCAGCCTCACCAAAGCCAAGTACAGGGGCATGATCACCTCCCTGCTCCTGCTGGCAACACCATTCCTGATCCATCCCAGGATGCCATTGGCCTTCTTGGCCACCTGAGCACATTGCTGGCTCACGTTCAGCCAGCTGTCCAGTTTAGTTTGTGCTGCTTTCAGATTATAGGGCTGATTTAGATTATAGGGCTGAGATTTTGGAGGCTTATGGGTTTTGAGTACCTGCCCTGCCACAAGACATGTACTTTTGTTCTTGGCACTGGCTGGGTGAAATCCAACACACAATGGGAGCACCTTTACCTATAGGCAAGGTAGTTTCTAGTCCATCTCTATAAAAGACAGTACAAAGCAATAACTGCCTTTTCTTTCCCACAAGGACTGTGACAGTGCCTCAGCCTCGTGTCTCAAGCCTTCAGTTCGGAAGATCAGGTCACAGACTTGGGCAGCCATTCGGGCAAAGCAAGGGCTGTCAATGAAAAGTTTCAAAGGAAGCTGTGCCCAGTCATCTATGCCTAGAAATATAACCCTCATAATCAATCATCTGTGGTTAGTGATAAGTCATTGGAAGAAACAAGTCTAGCAAGTAACCAAAAATTATGAGAACACTAAACATCACCCACTGTGAATCCATACGTACTTGAACAATTCACTGTCAGATACAAAAAACTATCATAAATGGGCATTTTTGGTAAAAACGTCAATGATCCCACTTTCTTATTTAAGGCACAGGAAATCTGATGCTGATTACGGAGATGCTTATTGGTGCACAAAATATGTTAAAGTCTTCGTGAGTGCTCTTTAAAGAGAATTGAACGCTAATGCCAGGCCAATTTAAAATATCACTGATCTACCTTTTTATTTGCTTTGTTGAAATCACATAATTGGCATTCCTAACACAGTTGGCTACTTAGGAAAAGTTATTTTAGGAAAGCCTCTACCCAAACAATGCAAAAGAAAAGACAAGTGATGTTTCGTGAAGTCAAAAACTAAAAACGGAATGATGGAAAACTGGTTTAAACAAATCTCTGTAGTTTGGACATGCCTTTTAAATCTTCTCCACAATATGCAATGAGAAGTAGTAATGAACCATCTATACAAGTGAAGCAAAAGGAAGGCATAAAGAATACCATGAGGAAAGCATGTTATTTTTAAGTAGAGGAAGAAGCAGCATTGTTGATAAATTAGCTACAGTGCACTTAAATTATAACTGAGCAAAACTATAAATAATTGGTGTAAACATGTTAACAAGTAGCTTTATTAAAATAATTTATGAGCCCATGTCTTCAGGCATTCAGGCTGAACATGACCTTTCTAACCTAAATTTACCAGGACTGTTGAAAGATCCATACACTATATTTTAATGGCCATCATAGTGCACTGCAACAATGGTTTGTATTATTGATGCTTTCAGACAGTAGTTCAAGTCACTAGGCACAAGGTCCACAGCCTCTTTGAAACAGGAGGCAATTTCACTAAAAATGAACCTCATCCTTGCATTTGGACACGTCCAGCTGAGCACAGATGCTGCTGGTGTTCTGGGGAAACTGAATTTGATGTTCATGACTGACTATGTCATAGATATTACCTAAGTTGGAAAATTTGTATTTGAATGCCTATCACCGAAAATTACAAAGGGTGATGAACCTGATAACTTTGCCTGTGTAAGTCTTATTGTTCACTTGAACTACCTGTATTTTTCTTTTTAATACTTTCTTTATTTAAATGATCCTGAAAGAACCTAGATAAAACACACTAAACCAAAAATAAAGTTTTCAACGAAGCTGCATAAGCAATAACGTCTGTCTTTATTTTATTGATTTTGCAATAAATGATCTGTTAATAGATTAAAATCAATGGACTAGTAATTCAAATCATAATATCCTTTTAAAAATCTCCATAAATCTCATGCATAAGATGACCAATTTGATATCAAATATGACTATATATTTTACAGTGAAACGGTTAAAATGAGAACAATGATTTGATATAAACATATTGGTAAACTGTTTTAACTTGCAGCTTTTCAACAACATATCCTAATATAAATATTGAAAACATACATAGTGAATACTTCATGTGGCAGTAGGAAAGGGAGAATAAAATGAAGAATGTCAAAAATTAAAAGAAAAATCAAATCCTCAAAAGCCTGAGACTTCACAAAGCAAAGCTGTTAGTTATGCTCACTGAATAGCGGTAACAACAACAAAACCAACAATAATTATGATGATGATGATAATACAACGGCAGATTCTCAGATGCAATGCACTATTGCCAGGTCGATTTTCAATTACATTTCACTGATGTATTCATTTGTTTCTTAATGTGCTCATCTTGCCCATTAAGAATAATTAGCAGGCTTGCTTGGTGATTTCCTGGCTTCTGACAGTGTTTTTTTTTCCTTTTTTGTTGACAACCACTTTTACTTTTTGGAAAGTCATTTTTGGATATTATAGTATGACTGGCATGTAATTTAAGCTTCCTAAGAAATTTAAAGGAAAGATGTAAACAGTAATTTTAAAACAAGATTATTTAAAACTACAATATCTACAGGAAAAGCATAATACTAGGCATTAACTATTGCTGAAGAGCAGAATCTAATAAAGAAAACAGTATTTTATCCCACATTGATTTAAGTTGGTATGCTAAACAATTATAAAATATCATCCACAATAATAAAAATAAGCAGAAACACATCATTTGTAGCACTGGGGGCTAAACACTATTTCCAATTACACTAAAAATTCATACTGATTTCTGTGAATCTAGTGTGGCTGAAACAGATCTAAATTTAGCCTAAACTTCTGTCACAGCTAGTCACTATAGAAAAGAATGCAAAAGAAAATTACCATAAGACAGATCATAAAATTACTACTGAAGTCCATAAAACACATAAAATGCAACATAAATTTCATTATGTGCACTTTTAAGAATACATTCCACCTACACTGTAAAGTTCTTAGTCTGCTGCACTTTGGCACCCTGCTAATATTAAGCCCATTGTAAAATCCAACACAATAAAAGCACTTTGAATGCTGAGCCTTCAGAGCACCAAATGTTAAAAAAGAAAAATAAATTCCTGTTAGAGCCTTCCACCAATCACTTCTCTGAAAGGGATTCACTGAGTGAATACAGATGAAGACTTCTTGCAAGACTTTCGGAAAGAAAAGATATTTCTAAAACATATTGTGAAAAACTAAGGTGTGCTAATTAGATGACATTAACGGTTTCTTTTTCAGGAATACAAACACTTTTGATTTGTTTAATGCCAAAGACCGAGTGAATACTTTTAGCACTCATCCATTTTTCTTGCTATAGAAGACTTCTGAATTTCAAGAAAGTTCAGGTACGTTTATGGAATCTGCTAAGCAAGATATTTGCTGACTTGATGATTACTGAGCTTACCTGAAGCTCTCTGTGAGTTAAATGACCTTTTGTTAAATACTTATGGTTCTGTAAAATGCCAGTTTGTTTTGTTGGGCTAGTTTTGAAACACTTTTTTTCTCCCCCATTTTTTATCTTTGTAATGACATAGAAGAAGGATCGGAAGGGGTGATGCTGATTAAAATACACAGAATAATGACTACCTCCTCCTCAAGACATGAGTACAACAAATCAGAATTTAACAAAATAAGAATCCCTGAAACATGACTGAGAACTTGTATTTTTCAAAAAAAAGGAGACTTATAAGGCTTCCTTCAGATTTTAAAAGAGATGATATAGGGTCAGCTGCTTTTCCATGAAATTGTTAAAAGTGCTGTAAACAATTACAGTTACCTCAGTTAGGTCTGAGAGAGTCATTTTAAAGGTAGTAGCTAATATTACTGCCCTGCAATGCCTCCTGTTTTAATGGCCATAAGAAACAGCAATTTTTTAAAACCAGGAATTAGTTTAACTTTTTTTTTTTCCACTAAGTACTCATTAGTTAGTTCTCAAATGCATACAAGCCTGAAATCCTAATAATTCTGACGATGATGATGCAGTGGCCAAAACCTGAAAAACTAGTCTGCCTTAAAATGCAAACGGAAAGATTACCAAGGAACAAAAGCAAACAGATATCTTCCTTTTTTTCCTCTCAATTTCTAAGGGCTATTAGTATTCACTGTATATATCTGTTCTTGTTCTGTGCTGATATTTAACGTGGCCACAAATTATGCTCACTCATTCTCTCGGGTAGCCAAAGTCCAGTTCAATTTTCTGAACTATGTGTTCATATTAGAAGGGAATAATAGCAATTTAATCTATTATAAGAAATATAATAAAATACTTTCTACAAGGGACAGAGAAGCTTCGCAATCTTACATCAAGAGAAATTATGATAAATTGATAACTGATTAAGCACACTATATGGGTAATTTCTAGGCAGTTATAAAACTTAGCAGCAACAATGAAACCATGCATTTCAATATACACTGGAAAACCTGTGACAACATACAAATACAGAGTATGCTTTAAGAGGCCACTATCTGAAAGTAAAAAAAATAAAATCTAGTTCTCCTGCAAAATGAATATGTGAAGGGGAGCTAATGATTTGATTCACGGCTACACCTCCTGCAACGTGCAGCATACGCTCAGGCATCTTTCAGCACTCAACCATAAGACAAATATTTACTACTGTACTTGCTCTATACCAACACGTACATTTTTAATTAGAGAAGAAAATGTAGCATTTATTGTGTGGGAGGCTGTAGCTCTGTTCAAGATATTCTGCATCTATTTTTTAATTACTTATGTGGGGACTTTTTCTTAATATACCCCATGCTGTCTGTCTTTATATCGATTGTTACTCAGCCAGTAAAAAGGAACGAGCACAACAAACCAGTTTTCTATCTGAATAAGGATACTTTTGATGGCCTTTTCATTTCCATCAGTTAACAGAACTTCTTTGACATCTGCAGAAATAGCAACCTGAAAAAAAGAGCACAGCAAACAATGAGCAAATATGCTTGTCTGTGTGGAAGTGAAGACAGGAGTGACAAGCCTTCAGTATCATGCTTCCTCACCTATTTCTCTGTAACAATCTTCAATCTTTTTTCATTTTATGTCTGCATTATTTTAATCATTCAATCAAATCAGTCAATACTTTTATCATTCCATTTGCGGGAGCCTCTATCTTGCTATCATTCTGTTCCGTAATTGCATTGTGACAGCGGATGATGGTATTCTGAGAGGCTTTCATTTGCGGGCTTCTGTTTATCTAGTAGAGCCATCATACAAGGCTGTCACTCTGCCTTTCAGCTTGCTTCTGTCTGACTGCCTGATGCCCTTCATATAACTTTGCATTGCAGGCAGATGGCTTTGTAAGGGTAATTTTTTTGTGAGCTTTGACATGCTCGCACATTGGGCTGTAACCTCGACACATTGTATAAGAGCGACAGGTTTGTCAAATGCCAATCAGTGTAACAATATGCTTTTATTTGTAGAGACATAAAAACTTGTCTAATGCACTGCACTGCTACATAATATCTCCTGAATACATGACTCAGAACCCAGAGAATGGTGAACGACTCTCCTGAATGGCCAATCTAATTCAAAAGAATCTAATTACCGAGAGCTCTGGATCATGTTTGTTGGTGTAATAATGCAGGCAAAACATTAGCAGCTATATCATGGTGCTCCAACTGTGATTCGCCAGGCTATTCCTGTATCTTAGCAAATGGGACTATAATCTGAAAAAAAAAAAAAAGCTTCGGCTATGGCAATGAAAGACAGACCGTACGTGGCCTGGAATGTCACAACAAGAGATATTGACTACGCGGAGGTAAAATGTTTCTGCTCATCGAGGCAACCATAAAATCAATATGATACGAAAGCAAGTCAATCTAGAAGGTCTCTCAAGACTCTGCAGCTTGACCGCAGCTGAGGCTGTTGACAGTTCTCTGACCCAGCAGTTGGAGGCACTGGAACATTTTTCCTTTTGTTTCTTCCTCTGAATGGGATTGGAATTGAGAAAAGACCTACCATGAGCCCAGCCAAGCATGTCATGCCACCCCCTAGCTCACACACAGCAAGGTCCCTGAAAGAGAGAAAGGAAATGGTAGAACCCATACAAATTAGATGAAAATGGTCAGAGAGACATATATGTTACAAGAACAAATTGCCATCTGCAGTATGAACTGAGCTACCAGGAAGTTGTAGAGACATGACTAGGCTACCTCATGTCGTTTTGCGTTTTAAAAATAATTATGAAATAGAAAAGTCACAAAGCAGGCAAATCAGTGGGGGTTCCCTCATTAGTGTTCAGTGCAACATTACCACCGCTGAGCTGAAAAATCTGAGAAGGTTCCCTTTTTTCCCTTGTCAATGGCTCTGTCTTTTAGAACTAAACTAGCTAGAGTAGCGAAAGATAATTGTTAGGAAAGGATAACAATGTTAATCCACATTCATTCTTGCAAAAACAGTTAGGGAAGTAAACGGGGAAATTAATATTATTTATATATCTCTCCATATAGTTATGCCTAAAAGCCTTTTTATATTAAAAAGAGGGAAGTTTTAAAACATGCCGTATATCACAAAACAATTACACGTGAAGAAATCCGATCCTTCAATTAGCATTTAAAACTGCAAGTGACCTACAAACAATGCTGTTACGAACAACGATGGGAACAGCAAACAGTTAAGCCACAGAGAACCAAGCGAAGTTAGCGTCAAGACCCTAAACTGAGCCTGAGCAGAGGGTTGAATACGTGGTCTTTTTGCTGCTTTTAACTTAGACCATACCGTGCCGCTATTAAGACCCGTGTGTGAAATATAATTTGGCGCAGAGAGCGTGCCGGATGGGAGCTGGCAGGGGGAGCAGTAAAGAATGTCCTCCAGAGCCACGGCCTGCCCCAGGAGGGGAGGAGGGAGGGATGCTGACCCCGGCGCCGAAACTGCGTGAAGCAGCGTCTAGGGCAAGGCAGAGTCTCAGTTTAGGAACATGCTGCTTTATAGCTAAATCTGCGGCAACTGCTACAGTCGGCAGAAAACGTTCCCATGGAGATATTTTTGATGGACAGAAAGTGCAATTTCAGCTAAACAGAACTTTTTCTCTTTTTTTAGGTGCACCTTTTCTTCTCCCCTAAAATACCAAAGTCCAAAAATCTATTGTTGTGTGAAAGTATTTCCTCCCTACTCGTTTGACACTGATATTTAGGAAGACTATCTAGGATGCCATATCAGTATCAGCACACAAACGCTGATATTTTGTTTGCTGAGGCCAGAGGACTTAGGCTTCACGACTGCCCACTATTGCTCGTTGTCTGGATGGGACAGATTTATTTTTCTTAGACTCCACAAATTTTATTTGAAAAGAAGTCTAGTTGTCCTACTTAATGGAAATGAGACAAAAGACGGACATAGTTCAGAGGAACAAGCTGTCCATAAAACCAGTAAGAATGTAAAACAGATCTGGGAAATTTGCAGTTTGTGGTTTAAATAGAGTGATTATAGGTTTTTCCTCAGAGAAGTTTTTATTTTTCTAAACCATATACGTCATACATATAAAAAGTATATGCATATGGTTATATATGTAAGACTCACAAGGCACTGAATCCTTTATAAGAGTCATACTTACTGAAATAAACATAGAAAGTATCTAGTGTAGGAGTTTTAGTGCATTTTGAACCACAATACATGTGCATAGTATACCAGCATATACATACACACATATACACATACGTACTTACGCATATAAATAATTTAATTCAGCGCAAAGTTCCCTTATTAGCAAATTTTAAAAGCCGAATCCATCTTTTAGGTGGCATTTAATGACATTTATCACTGAGAATTAAAATAAGAAACTCTACTCAGAGTGTCCTGTCGAGAGGGCATAAACCTGAGAAATCAGGATGTGAAACTGCCCAGTTCCTCCACGGCAGTTTGACTAATCACTGGCTTGGAGTACCAAGGCTGGAACACTCAAGCTAGGAAAATCCTCTTTTAGAGAGGATCCTCTGAGGATGAGTGGAGTGCAGGAGCCACAGCAAGGGGCTGGGCAGCAATGTGCTACAGGGACGGCACCACAGCAGCCAAAGTCACAGCTAAACTGGGAGGAAGGAACAGCAGCTCCTAGATTCGGTGTTAGCTGCCTCCTCTGACAGGGTGGGCTTCGCTCAGTTGGCTGACAGAGGCCAAACGAGGCTTACGAACCACGGCAGGCTTTGGTGCCAGGTCTTTGGTTTCCGATAGGAACCAGCTCACAGCTGACACGCCTTCTGCTTTGGTGCAAGGGGCAGAGACTTCCAGCTTGGTGTTCCCTATTTTACCAACACTTGCGTATTCAGACTGAGGAATTTTGTACACTCCAAGGTGGGTCACTTGGTACTAGCTTTCAACCCTCACTCTTAACACAATTTATGCTTCCAAATGCATTGCTGTAATGGCTTTTCTTGCACCCTGTTCATCCTCTGGACAATGAAACTTCAAGTGCAAAGCTCTGTATGCTCAAGGGGAAAGAGAGAGGATGCAGGACGGGTTTTATTTTTAAGTGTTCCTATTGCAGCCTTGGTAACTGTCTTCTGCAAGTTTAGAAAATGTGAAAACAGAAAAACAAAAAGCAGAATGTCTCCAAATTGTTTCACAATACTTAAATACAGGTGCAAATTCCTCCATTGCTACATGCAGTGATTATTATATTATTTATGAGGAAATATTTTGCTTGCTTTTGCAACAGATGTTAGTTTAAAGAATGTCTTTTATTTTTCCTGACCTTCACAATCAGTACTGATCGATTGGAGCTTCACTTTTGTTTCCCAAAAATCAAAGTGAAATAAAACGCCTTGAGTGGAAATCAAAAGTCTTTGACATATAGCAGAAAGCTTGCTGTGCAATATTAGTACCCAAAGGCAGCTCAGAACTCTTTGTTAAGAGCAACATGCTTTCACCTTGAACATTTTAAATTTAATCTGAAGACTTAAATCATAGCAATCTTTACCATGCAGATACAATAAAACAGATTGGAAAATATCTTTTTATGTTTAAGTCTGTACCTGAATATTTCATTGTGCTTTAGGCAGTAGTAAGCTAGCACTTCTTCAGATGGCCAGACACCTATAAAACAAAGATATTTGCCTTCTTAGAAGAGATTTTTTTTTGTCTAAAATAATATTTGAGTACATATTACCATTTGCAGACCTCTACCAACTGTTTAATTCTCTAAATTTGCCATAACACCATGGAATAAAGAAAAAAAAGAGATTTTTAACCGAAGACTTCTTACTTAAGCATTGGAACTGAATATTTAATAGCTTGCACCCCCAACTAATAATGAGAAATTTAGTTTATAGATACATGTACACACATAAACATACACGTATATCTATGCATACGGGTACAATTGTCAAGAATTAAAAAGTTATATCCAACCTAATTCTATGAAACTTCTGGCATTTGGGCATTCACATGGATATTATCAGTTTGTACCAGGCCACAGGTGAGGCCCACCATGCCTTGTAGTCTGCTTCTAACAGAGAGCAGGAGCTCCCTCCTTTCTACACAGCTGTTTTTAAGAGTCATTTAATTTCTTCCCAGCTTGTTTTTATTTAGCTCTTTTTATCTTAGATTTTGTTAGGCCTCAGTCTGACTGTAAGAGACACTGCCCAGCAACACACGCTAATGAGAAATACGGGACTGAAGCATTAACACAGCAGGATTCCTAGTTGTGGCTCAAGTAGTTTTTGAGGAGGAGACACAAGTGGTAAATTCTGTTTAATAGTCACCAAAGGATTTTTCTAGATCTTCTATGGTCTGTGGTAAACTTTCCATAGCTGCAAGATACCGAGGCAGGAAGCACCACTGTTTTTACTGTATAAAGAAACATCTTCTCCCTCTTGTTTTGTACTTGTCTCTGTCATTTTCACTGGAGGCTCTCCAGTTCTCATAGGCATAGAATGATTTGGGTTGGAAGAGACTTCAAAAATCATCTAGTTCCAATCCCCCTGCCTTGGAAGGTACATCTTCCACTGGATCAGGTTACTCAAGGCTCCATCTAACCTGGCCTTGAACACTTCCAGGGATGGAGCATCCACAGCTTCCCTGGGCAACCAGTTCCAGTGCCTTGCCACCCTCAGGGTAAAGAACTTCTTCCTTTTATCTAGTCTAAATTTACGCTCTGCCAGCTTCCACCCATAACCCCTCATCCTGTCACTACAGGCCCTTGTAAAAAGCCCCTCCCCAGCCTTCTTGTAGGCCTCCTGCAGGTACTAGAAGGGTGCTATACAGTCATATGCGAATAGACAATGCAATAGAGCCCTTTTCACCTAATCTGTATCATTTGTGACTTTATGAGCTTCCATCATAAAACTCACGCTAGTCGACATCAACCTTGGCAAGTGCTTGGAGGCACCCATGCAAATCTACCCCTTCAACAGCACTCAACTTGTGAAACTCGCTGTTCAGTCAAGACCAGTTTCCCACCTCAGCTGAAGGTGCTGTGGCCCACGGAGAGGGCAGCACCGATTGCGCCAGGCTTGCATGCTCTTCTGCAGGCACCTGCCTCCATTGCTGGAGGGAGCCTGGGGAAAACGGGCCCCTGCTCAGGCACCTCAGTTAGGTGCCCAAAGTTAAGGCAGGATAAACCAAAGGCATACGCGGCTGAATTACGGTTGTACAGGTTTCCCAGCTGTTGTTGCTCAGCAATGAGGAAATCTGCTTACATGTCTATCCACAGGTAAAATCCAGGGTTAGTCTCCCCTCTCGCAACACACAGCGTTATGAATTAACATGATGGAAACTTAATATTACGAACTACAGACAACTTCAATGGTTTCAGTAAACTTAAATCCACACATGTGGGAGCATCCTTCAGATATTTCTAGACAGGTAAACTGAATTCCATGCAGCTTACTATGTACATGAATCCTTTATATAATTTTTTAGAATACTGATTCCTGAGACTTTAAAAGCATCACAGCATATTTAATAGAAGCAGAATTTTGGGAGAAAAACTGTCTTCCTTCTAAAGCGCTTAAGAGCCTGATCATAACCATCAAATATAAAATTCTTCCTTTCCACCTAGTAAGTATTCCAAACCACCTTTACTTACAGTGATGATTAATGAAAATTTATGTATGTGTTTTCTGCCAGGCAGATCTATCAAAAGCCTAGATAGGATTTGGCCAAAACTTTGCATGCCACTTTTGTATGACAAAGATCTTAAAGGTGAAAAAAACAGAGTGACAATTCATACGTGTGACAAAAACACTGAAACATTGGTATTTGTCCTGCTTATGACCATTTAGGCTGATCAGATGGTTGTGAATGTGCTGATTTGCTTAGACTTGTTAAGGGTTAAAATAAAATATTCACACATGACTACCCATTCTTCAGTGAAACATACACTGAGAATTGTACAGGATTTTCCATCTCCCTTTTGAGCATTTCAATGCTTTTGAGCACTGAAATATGCTAAAATGACAGATTTTGCAGTAAATATAATAACTGTTTAAATATTTTAGCGTATAATATAAAGAATGTTTCCATTTGCAGTGACTGATGTATACTCAAGCAATAAAAGTGCTTTTTACTATTTAGTGAAGACACAGCTAATTTAGTACACTCATAATGCTTATGTCTCACATTACAAAAAAACCCCACACACCCACAAACACAAAAAACCTAAACCCTTTTATAGCAAACTTTTAGCCTGAGTGTGTTTTAAAAATACCTGCCAGTTGTAGCAAAACCACAGAAATCCTTCAACATCTGAGTTTTCAGTACCCTCAGTCAAATGTTCCTCACTTGTCTGCGACTGTTATTGAAAGAGCACTTTGAATGGTGACACTAAATCTTTTTATGAGGGGTCACTGTTCTTTCCCCTGCTACCACCACGATGCCGATACCGGCTGAAACTTGCAGGTGTATCGGATGGCTCGGCGCTGAGAGAAGGCTAAAGCACCTTTGGCAAGACAATGCTCTTCTTGAGGCAGATGCCAGGGAGACACACGACTCTCGTCCCCGCTCTCTGCCCCCGTGGGGAAGGAAACATCACCTCAGCGATGATATAAGTGGTGGGCGGCTAAAGAGGCAGGAGTCAGGAGGTCTTTGACGAACACAGGCCTCAAGAGCGGGAGCACACAGTGCTTCCAGCTAAGCCCAAGGAGACAGAATACCTGTGTTAATTTTAGTAAAAGGAAAAGCTTCTCGTGCTTGAACAGGTACATAAGCCTCTTTACCTTCAAACCAGGGATAAGCTTAAGGATCCACGTGGAGGAGTTTGCATTCTGTCTTCCCCTTCACTCTGACCTACATTCACCAACACAATGACCTACATTCTGAAGTTGCAAGTATAAGATAGTTCTGCTTCTGTTAGAAAACGTGGAGCTGTAACGCATAAATGCAGCAATACCTGCAAGTTAACAACCACCACTAAGTTGTGAAAAGCATATTTTATTTCCTGAAAACAGATTAAGTTTCCTGTGAACACACTTAAAATAATTCTTTCATATTTAAAATAAAATTATTCTCGTTTTGTATTGTGAATTAGATTATAAATACATAATATCAGATGAGTATCTATTTGCATGTGCTTCTGTACTTACACAATAGTCAATTATTTACACATGTACCAAAAGAATATCAAAAGGCTCCCCAAATGGTACTTGTATTTAAAAGGCTATAAATACACCACGAGTCCTAGACAGAGGGGCTAAAAGTCTCACTGTACAAGGAAACAGAGAGAAACAAGAGCTCCTTTTTGCAAAAATAAGTATTTTGTGACATTTACTGGTGGTTTTGAAACTCTTTTATCACCTTGATAACTACAGTGTGAGAACAGGGAATAGTTGCCAGAAAACATCGGAATCACTACCGAAACAAATAAAAGCATTAAGTTGATTAAGTTTGGTCGGCATTTAAAGGAAAGCATCAAGAAGGACTGTGATTTGGCATGTCTAAAGACATGGGAGAGAGACAGTGCTCACAGAGCAACGTCTCCACATTTCAGTTCTTGGCAGGTATCCTCTCACCGTTAGGATGGAGTAGGAGATTTGCTACAAATGTGCCATAAGAGCAATGACATCCACCTCCAGACAGCTTCATGATAGTTACACTACAGTAGTAGGGCTAGAAAAGCACTAAATAATAAAATCACTAAATAGCATGATGATGGATGGAGAAGTGCTATATACGCAGAGGCCTACAAAATGCAGGCATTTCTATAGCATGTATCACCAAATCATAAAGTCTGACCACAGTAACAAGAGTCTACTTCATTCGTTCAAGTCTCAGAAAACGTGATGCCATCATGAGTTGCTATTGGCCCCATTTTGCACATTAGGAACCAAACTAAGAAACGGAGACAGATTAAGTGAGTCAAACTCACAGAATGAAATTATGGGAAGGCCAAGAAAAAAAACCTGAGCCATCCTAACACCTTGAGGCACGAAGTAACCAAAAAAGACACCCAAAATTTTACTGTAGAGGAACAACGCTAACAAAAATCATAACAATGCACAGAAAATACAAATTAAGTTGGTTTTATTACTCTTATAGTCTGCACTAGTCAGGGCACAACAGTTCTTTAAAGCAACCTTCAACCCATGTGGACTAAATCATGTGCAAGCGGCCTTCTGAGGATGTTCTGTTTTAACCATAAGGTGGAGCAACACTAGTCCAGGAAACATCTGTGTTTCTTCTGTGCTGAATCTAGAAATGCCTAATCCTGTATGATATTACAGAAAAATTTTCTACTAGATCTAAGCTATCCAGTATAAACAAAATAAAATAAAAATTATTCTTTCTCCTCTGTGGCTTTTTGCCATATTTTAAAGATTGCCATCACACATTTGGATAATAAATACTGAGATGTGACATGAAGTTCTTAAAGAACAGTATCTTATTAGAAAATTCTCAGGACAGAATGCTGAGCATTCTGAGATGTGTCTTTTTAAAGAAGACATTTGATTATTGGAGCCATTATGCATCCGCATTGCTCCATAGGTACAAAGACATCATAGCAGCCACTAATTACTTTAACTGGGATACTGTAAGATTAGTGAAACTCTACTTTACCGCCTGCCAACGCTACAAGCAGGGCATGAAGGGGC